TATAGAATTTTAATCATCAATGTAATCCCAAAGACATGACCACAAGCAAGCACAAGAATATTTATTGCATCTAATGGAAAATCCCTGCTATCACTTCAACACACCAGACTTTGCAATGCGATTGTCTTGAATAATATGAAGACCTATTTTTCGTTTATAAGCAGGGTTTCAAACTACCAGTAAATCAGTTTTATGAGATGTATTCACCCTATTTCGTTTAAGGTGACTCATACTAATGGTTGAATTTTACCACAATGATACGAGTGGATATTGCGTTTAGATTGAATTTCGCATAATCTTGCTTCCAAAAAGATAGTCTGATCTAGAATGGAAGACAGTTTCGACCTCATCTATATCTAATCGGCATTATAGGGGGACTCGAACTCTGACTGTTCAGTGTATACTAATGAAACATTAACCACTACCTCACACTGCCATGAGTGCTAATACATGAGGATGAATGCATCTCATGTACATAACCGATTGGCAGTCTTGAAAACCTAGTTATAAACGAAAAATAATTACTTTAGTCGAATGCTATAACAAATTGACAACCCCACCACAGAATGTGATATGGACAAAGGCCTGGCCTTCCTTAAAATTCACATCTGCCATGAACCAAGAGCTCTCGTAGTCACTTGGCGTACTCGTTAATGTGCCGAGATTGTACGCTGCATTATAACGCTTCCAGCCCCGCTTGGGGTGTTGAGGAGACCTAGACGAGGTCGAAACTGCAGTCCATTCCTGCTTGGATAAGAATACCTTTGGGAAGGACATGCTGAGCTAAATTCAATGAAAACCTGGAGCCTACTCATATTTTTGTGGAAAAATTCAACTACCAGTCCTTCTTAACCTTCGCGTAGTGAGGTTGTAAGGTTCAACTTATATGGGGTTGAAGACTCCTTAATTTGCTTCTTCCGAGCCCTTACATCTCTTTCTCTCTCTCTTTCTCTTTCTGAGAGATTCGTAGGTAGATCTCATCAGAAAATGACGGTTGTTTTCCGTTGTTCTGCAGCCGTTTGGCGTTTGGCGTTTAGCCCACAAGACATCCTCCATTTGAATGAAAATGAACTTTTTCAATTTGTTATATGACGGACATTTACAGACCTCTAACTCATTCTTGCAAAAGTCTCAAGTTACAATTAAATCAAGCAGGCTAACTGGCTCCATCCTATATGTCATGTATGTGTATATATATATATATATATGTATATAACTATTCTGGTCGATGCTTTCCCCCCTCGATTCTGACGCAAATTTGCTAAGCTTCCGTCTGTCATATAGTGGAGATCATGATAGCAGGTTATCATAATTGGAACTAATTCACTTAGTATATGGTTGCGAGAACGAGGTCAGACCACTTCTATGCAACTAAAGTAGGCTTCAAGCAAGATGGAGACCTCAGCATATTGGTCTTCATAGCAATGTTTAACTAAAGTTTAGTTAATAAAAATCACTGGCGTGTTATTGCATGCTGCAAGTAAACGCTAAACCTATGCAGTTTAATGGAGTATTGAGTGATTTGATTCGTTAATAGTGTGCTCCGTACGTAGAGCTATCACTGATGACCTTACACCTTTGAGTGCACATGTACGCGGATATGAATACGCTAGCATACGTATGCACAACATGCTTTTGATTTGGCAATTGGTATGAAATAACCAAATCACTTTTTAAGTCATAAAAATGCACGCATCTAGCTTATGTATACAGCATATTAGGATAACCTGATGAGTTATCTACGCCGTAAGAATGATATCCTTCTCTGATGATGTCAGTGATATGACAATCGAAGCCTCAACAAGGTTCTATTTCAAGTTCAGTCTGGGTGCAGAGATCATCCCATATGATTGTGCAGTCTAGAGTGTATACAATCCAACAGGTAGCATCGAAACATTCTCAATCTGAATAGAAACTAGCGATTTCTATTTGCCTCGTTAGCTTGAAGTTACTGTAGCAAGGGTATCCTGCTCTGATGATTTCAATCCTGAGTGACATTTTCATTAAAAGCGAGTAAAATTGCCTGGGGAATAGACTCAATTGTAATGTTCCATAAATGCCAGACGTCAGTTGGCCTAAAGGAATCCTCCGTCGGCTTTTTGTTTGCTCGCGCCATGAAACCATTCGGTACACACTTTCATTCGAAATGGAAGTAATCTCAACGCTTGTAAGGCAATAAAGCTCACGAAACCTAATTCTCTTTTTTATAACTTATCACTCCCCCAGACGTTAGGTCGGGTTGCTGGTGCCATGCGTCTGGGAATTGATCACAACATACCAGTTGCGTTTTAGTCATTGCCTCAAGCCCCAATCAACATTCTTTTATTTTTATAACTAGGTTTCCAAGACTGCCTGTAGATTATAAATTTGATATTTATTCACTATGATTAGTTTAACTTGATGAAGGAGGGGCAGTAGAATTTTCCTACAATGAAATTGCATTCCGGCCAGGATGAGACTACCTTCTGGGGAGCAGGGTGATGTGAGAATTAATAGAAACATTGTGCCTTCTCATGTAATTGTGTGGAAATTAGACTATCAGTCCTTGATCAGGTTAATAGAAATAGGGTTGCTGCACCGGATGTGGGTGTGGAATGTTGAGGAAAATGAACAGATTTGTGAAAGGTTTTCAGGTAACATGGGATAAAACGAGAAGATTAGTTGAGGAAAGACATTAAACCCACCGTTTTTGTGACAGGCTTTCGCCTCTTTCAACTGCCTGTACTTGAAAAGTGACATTTGCCGCCCCCCCTCGACGTTGGGATGAGGACAAGTCGGGGAGAGGTCAGTTTCATTCTCGTATGAGGCTTTTTCCCTCCAAGTCCTGGCCAGTCCATGGGCCTCCAGTTCGCCGGGAAGTGGGATTCCTAAGGCCGAGGTTTCAGCGGCCGGGAGGCCAAGCAACGAATGATCGAGAAGGAGACGTGTCGATAAGCCAGGCTCCAACTCCCAGGTCACTTGAAGCTGGGCATCACGAAGGTCGGACGGAGGCGATTCCACCGATTCGACCGACCTGCCACCGAACAGGTCGATAAGCTGACCTTTTGGCATCATGAGACAATTGCTGGGCCAGATTGTAGTTGCCATGTCGCCGGTGAGGTGGAGGTAGGGCCATGACAACGAGGAGGAATCGTCTGCAACTGGTTCATCTGACAGGGGAGAATGGGTCTGAGAGAGGAGAGGAAGCAGTGGAGGCAGTAGCGGCGGTGTCCAAGGCTGTAGGTGCCCCGGCAACAACGGAGCCGGTGGCGGCGTAGACGATACGAGGAGTAGAGACGGTAGCCGTGGCGACGGTGGAGGCGGAGGAGAGGGGAGAAGAACCAGGCCGGAGGAGAGCTGACATGACGTGGAGGAGGTGGAGGAGCGTGAGGAGGATGAAGAAGAAGAAGAGGCATTGGTCTTGTCCTGGCACACCAACAAATCTGCAACCAGAAAAGACTTGGCCATGTCAGTGCATGCGGCCAAGCCGTGCTACGAGTGAAGCTAAAACACGTTCGGAAGGAGGCCCGTGATCGACGATTTAGAGGGGCAGGCTGAAATGACAATTGCATGTGATGTTGGTAGCTGAGGCCGCTATAATTGTCCCTTTTCATTCCTCTCGTTCTCCCCAATCGCCTTCCTCTGGCAATCGGAAACCCCGGCAGCATCCAAAGCGGGCTGAGCTGGTGGGTCGGGAGAACCAGAAACCCAACGCCTCAACCAATTGGGATTGAGTTGGCGAGTTTGCGCTAAACTGAGGCCATTTCATCTTAGTTCATGTGCGTATGTGTGTGTGTGTGCATGCATTAGAGTTTGAGCAATGCGAATAAGAGAGAAGAACTTGGGTTTTCAGTGCTCGCAGGGACAATGTCGTGACGCAACGAGGGGTAGATTGCGGGGACCACGTGAGCAGAGGGAGACAGAGGCCCAAGCGAATATTTGCGCGAAAACTGATCTAGGCCATTGGCTTAATTAGTAACGGACCTATACAGATTTGGTAGAATTTGGCTTTAAAAAGACTATGACATTTATTAATCCCATTTCGTTTAGGGTGTTATGAATAGACATGGCGTTGTGGGAAATTTCAACTATCAGTCCTCTATCACCTGAAACGAAATAGGATAAATACATCTCTTTTCTATGATCTACTGGTAGTCTCGAAAACCCATTTATAAAAGAAACATTAAAAAGTCTTCTATCGGGATTTTTATATCCTCAAACCTCATTGTTGGCCTGTATTTCGTTTCGAGTCTTAAAGTTTGCGGGTTGAAAGGATTTGTATGGCGTTGTCACCATAATACACTGACAAATTATCTTCGGTTTATGCTAGTGGTTCCCAAACTTTTCCTAGTCGTAGCGCCCTATTTCAACTAAAATTTTTTCATGGCGCCCTACCCTAAGTATGACTATTCGTAAGTAAGAGATAAAAATAAATAAAACT